TTCCCCGGGACCGGTTTCTCACCCTGAGTAGTTCTTTGACGGTCCCGAGGCCCAGCGAGGGCCCCCAGAGGCCGAGAATTGCGAAAAACCTCCCGTCGTGCTTTTTCACGACGCGAGGGGGTCTGGGGACCCCAGCGTGCGGCGGCATCTCTCTCCCTCTCTCTCTCCCTCTCGAGCCGGCTGGCTCCGGGAGGGCCACGGGGCCCGAGGCGGGGCGAGGCGTCCGGCGGTGCAGGCACTGCGGCGCCTGGGCCCAGAGAGGCCCAGGGGCACGCAAATATACACCTGTGTCGGGCCTGTCCCCTATACAGAGGGAGTTTCGACGAAAAAAACAACAAACAAACAAAAAAAAAAAATGATCAGAAAATGCTCACCCAGGCCACTTTTGGACTATCGTTTGACTATGTTTGGGGTATGTTTAACTTTTCGTCGAAAATCCCCCTGTAGGGGGACAGGCCCGACTTAAATATGCACATGGGACGCACAAAGACGTACTAGTGCTATTAAATGTTCTCCTTGGAGGCGCGCGTCCGACCCGAACATATAGTATACCCATCTTGCAATATATCGTTTCCCGAGCGATGTGGCCAGAAAGCGCCCGCCAACACGCACATGCTATAAGATTTCTCGGTGCGCGCGTCGCCCCTGGGGGGGCGACGCACATATAGTACAAGTATGTTGGGGTGACGCCGAACATAGGCACAAATCCCAAGATCCCCCCTATTTTTCCAGAAAATCTGGATCATCGTCCCCCCCCCCCACCACTTCCCATAATTTCCCATCTGTTCCGGGCGATCGACGATGATTTGTGTCTGTGTGTTTCTGTTCGCCCCCGAGGATCTCAGAGACAGTCCGTTCAAACTCGGTCCCGTGAGCCCAGGACACACAAGTAAAGATACACAAATTCCAGGATCCCGGGGGGGTCCCGGGTCAGACACGACTCCCCGCCGGGGGGTCCCGGGCCCCAAAAAGCCCCAAGACGGGCCACGGGTGCCCCAAGAGGTCCCCAAGTCGGTCCAAGGGGGGCCCGAATCGCCGAACGATCTGTCCAAGACGCCTTGACGCCCTCCAGACGGCCCAAAAGACCTCCAGGAGCACTTCGAAGAGGGCCCCAAGAGGAAAAATCAGTGATTTCCCATTGGTGTTTGAAGCATTTCGGCGTTTTCGCCTCATCCGCTTCCCGACGCTCCAAGACGCCCAAGAAGTCCCCTAGATCGCCCCAAGACGGCCCCAGGGGGCTCCAGGAGTGACCCAAAACTGCCCGAGAGGGCCCCAAAGACGGCCCAAGATGCCTCCAAGACGGCCCAAGAGGCCCCCAAGACAGCGGCTCCAAGAGGGTGCCCAGGCGAGACCAGAATGGATATTTTGAGTCCTTGGCCCCGTTGGCCCCGAGAGGTTCCAAGGAGGAACCAGAGGCCCCCCAGAGGCCCCCAAGAGGCCCCAAGAGGCCCCCAAGAGGCCCCCAGGAAGCCCCGAGAGGCCCCCAAGAGACTCCCAAGAGGCCCCCAAGAGGCTCCTAAGAGGCCCCTTAACTGTCCCCCAGAGGCCCCTGGGAGCGCTTCGAAGCGACCCCAAGAAGCATCCATGAGGACTCTGACCTACGTCAGCGTCGTCGTCGTCGTCGTCGCCGCCGCCGCTGTCGTCGTCGTTCCCCTTCAGTCGGCGGCACTGGCCGCAAGGCCTTCGCAACAGACGCCAATCCCCGGGATCCCCCTATTTTCCAGATGTTCTGGATTCTCGTTCCCCCCCCCACTTCCCATAGTTTCCCATACAGTGCGGGGGCGGCCGCAAGAAACCCTCGTAAAAAACCCAACCCTGAGAACCCGCGCGCGAGGTACACCTGAGGGGAGACCCGGAGCACCCTGAACGCAGCAGCTCCCCTCAACGGCTGCGGGAAGTCACCGCGCAGCGCGAGGAGCGAAGACACCAAGGATACCCTGACGAAAAGCATACGGTTTCTTGATGCGCGCCCCCGCTGTATTTCCCGGGGGGTCGACGATGATTGTGCCCGTGCGTTTCTGCAGATTCTGCTTCCCCCTGAGGGTCTCAGAGACGGTCCCTTCAAACCTCCGCCCCATGGGCCCTCCCGGGGGCCTTCCTGGCCCGCGTTCCGAGCCGCGCCCCGCCGTGGCGACGAGAGCCTCCGGCGACGCCCAGACCGCTCCTGGGCCTGTGCTGTTCCAGCCTACTTCAAAGACTTGATCGGCAGAGGGAACTTCGAGCACCAGCAGAGCGCCCACGAACTCGAGGGTTTTCACGTGTCGGGCCCTGGGAGGCTCTCGTCCGACACCGCTTCGACACTCCTTCGCCACTCTTTCGACGCTTTTCCGGGTGCTCGAAATCATGTCTGGGATGTGGTCCTCAAGTGCGACGGGAGCAGCATAATCTCAGGCGAGAAGACGCCGGCGATGTCGACGTCAACGCCGACACCCTCGATCCTCGCCCAGATCTCAGGCACGACCAGTGGACGACGATCCCCGAGTTTGGTCGGGCATGTCCCCCTACAGGCCTTGCAGGCAGACTCTAATTAAGAATTCAAGAAAAATGCAAGAGATAATCGAAAGAATTACGTTAATATTCAAGATGCATTCAAAAGGAATGATCCAGTAATAATCGAAAGGAATAATCGCAATAAAAATCCAAGAAGTAATTCAATAATGTACTTCTTGAATAATACATCGTCCCCAGGCTACTTTCTACTATTTTCGAATCCGCCGACCCTGTCTGCGTGTGGAAGAGGCTGTTCCGTTTGACTCGTCGTCGTCGTCGTCGTGGTCGCTGTCGTCGTCGAGCGCGCCAGCCACAGCGGGATTGAGCAGTGTTGTAGTGGAGTCGAAAGGAAGCCCCTTCCCTTTGATCCCTTCCCCGCCGGGGGGGGGTCCCCGGGAAGTCCTGGGGACGTCCTGGGTCAGATACAACTCCCCCCCGAGCGGTTCGGGGGCCCGGAAAAAAACCCAGGACGCGGCAAAAATGCCCCAAGATGCCGCCAAGACGGTCCATGAGAGCCCCGAATCGCCGAAGTATCGGTCCAAGAAGCCAAAGTAGCCTCCAGGCGGCTCAAAAGGTTTCCAAAACGTCCCAAGAGGCCCCCAAGAGGACTTCAAGGAGGGCACCAAGGAACAAAAACCATCGATTTCCCTTAGCTTTTTGTAAGATTTTGGCATTCTCGCCTTGTCAGCTTCCCGACGCTCCAAGACAACCCAAGAGGCCCCCAAGACTGCCCCAAGATGGCCCAAGAGGGGCCCAAGAGAGCCCCAAAACGACCCAAGAAGGCCCCAAGACCGTCCGAGAGGCCTCCAAGACAATCGAAGAGGCTCCCAAGACGGTTGTAAGAGGGAGCCCAGACGGCGGACCCGAACGGACATTTCGAGCCCTCGGCTTGAGAAGCTCTCAAGAGACCCCCAGAAGCCCCTAAAAGGCCCCCAAGAAGCCTCAAGAGGCCCCCAAGAGACCCCCAGGAAGCCCCAAAGAGGCCCCCACGAGGCTCCCAAGCGGCCCCAAAGAGCTTCCCAAGAGGCCCCAAAACTACCCCCAGGAGGCCCCCGAGAGCTTCGTCGTTGTTGTCGTGGTTGTCGCCGCCATGCAGGGTCGGCGACACCGGCCGTAAGGCCTTCGCGATATTCCTCCTGTAGAACGACAGGCCCGACTTAACAAGACGGGATCCGTTCCCCAAGACAGGCTCTTCGTCCCGAGGTCGCTCTGTGACGTGACTACCTACCAGACCACCCCAACCCAACCCGAAGACCCGAATTTCGGGTCGGGGAGGGTAAGGGTTCCACATGTGCTTTTTCGATGTTTCCCGACCCCCCCCCCCCCACTGGAAATCGACGGTACATCTGAGCCTTCGGGTTGGGTTGGGGTGGTTTGGTGGGTGGTGATGACGGTCCCGGGACCCAGCGGGGGCCCCCGGAGCTCGACAGCGGCCACCAAGACCGCCGCCGTGCTTCTTGTCCACGGCGCGAGCACGTCCATCGGCGGCGCGCGAGGCGAGTCTGGCAGGCCACGCCAGAGGGCCCCCATGAAGCCGACGAGGGCCCTCGACGGCCGCCCAGGAAGGCCCAGAAGAGGCAAGCCCCAAGACGCCCCCAAGACGCCCCCAGAGGAGTCCTCTACAGTCGGGGCCTTGACCTAAGGAACCCTAAATAAGAAACGAGGCCCCTTTTTTCCATAAGTTAAACTTCGATTTCCCATCGAAAACATATGGAAACCCTGAGGCAAGCTGCGAAACAATCAAGGAACACCGAGCCCCTCCCCAACGAAAAGGGTTCCTTCCTCAGGGCCCCGGCTGTATTGGCGGCGAGCGAGGGGGGGAACGGAGGAGGAGGAGGCCTTCTCAAAAAGCAGCGGGACTGCTCAGAAGCGCTCTGGCCTTCTGCGCTGTTTCCTGTGCCTTCGCGGGAGGCTCGGAAATCGTCTCAAAGGGTGGGGGGACTTCCAAGCCGTCTAAGCAGGTCCGCCCCTTCTCACTTCCACCCACGCCCCATGCTCGCCACCGACGCCAGCGGGCCGCTGAGGGCAAATCGGGGGGAGTCGACTATCCACCTCACCGATCCTGGCATCCTGGGCCCAAGATCGGTGCCACGAGGGCGTGTGCACCGATCCCTGGCCCGAGATCGGCTGGCCAGGATCGGCGAGGTGGATGGTCGAGGTACTCCGAGCAGGCGCCGTGCCCTCGCCAGCCCAAGATGGCGTTTAGCAGGCCATCGAACGGTGCTTGTGCCGCCCTGGCCGGACCGCGCTCCAGCGGCCCAGACAGGTGCCCGGAGGACCCCAGTCGTCGTCATCGTGGTCGTGGTCTTGGGGTCGTCGTCGTCGTCGTCGTCGTCGTCGTCGTCGTCGTCGTCGTCGTCGTCGTCGTCGTCGTCGTCGTCGTCGTCGTCGTCGTCGTCGCCGTCACCGTCGTCGCCGTCACCGTCGTCGCCGTCGTCGTCGTCGCAGTCGTCGTCGTCGCCGTCGCCGCCGCCGCCGCCAAAAATCGACGGCGACCGACGCCGCAGCGCCGGACGTCGGAGAGGTGCGGCGGCCGGCAGGCCGAGACGTAGAGCTTGAGCGGCAGGGGCCACCCGTGCTCCGCGCGCCGGGCCAGCTCCCTGGTGCGAGGCGGGGAGTTTAGTTCTCCTGGAATGGAGGAGGAAGAGGAGGAGGAGGAGGAGGAGGAGGAGGAGGAGAGGAGGAGGGAGGAGGAGGGAGGAGGAGGAGGGAGGATGAGGAGGAGGAGGAGGAGGAGGAGGAGGAGGAGGAGAGGAGGAGGAGAGGAGGAGGAGGAGAGGAGGAGGAGGAGGAGGCGAGGAGGGAGGAGGAGGAGGAGGAGGAGGAGGAGGAGGAGGAGGAGGAAGGGGGAGAAGGAAGGGGGAGGAGGAGGAGGAGGAGGAGGAGGAGGAGGAGGTTCTGCATTGGGCCTCAAATTTATGAGTGCAACCGCTGAAACATATCAAAAGCAAGCATGCGATATGTACGACCTGCAGTGCGCGCACGATACGAAATTAGAACGTGTCCTCCCCTATGCGAGCCCCGAATTGTCTTCGCTCTACCATCTGCGGCTTGACTCGAGAAATTTGATTTGCTCGGTCAGGCTAAGTTTCGAAAAGCGTGATAAATCAGCTGATGCTAACTTGCGTCGCTCCTGGATATTATGCTGCACGCTGCTCGGGAAATGAATGGAGGGAGGGGCCGAAGTCGGCGGAGAAGCGGGCAGAAACCGACCACTTTGGAATGAAAATGGCTGGTGTTGCGGCGGCCGAAGGAAGGAGACGGGAACAGGATCATTCACCTGGCGCCTTGCGCCGACTCTCGATGTGCCGCTCTCGGCGGTGTCGCTCCGAGCGCTCACCTTCAGCGCTGCAGCAACGGTGGCCAGCGGCTCGTCCGCGCCTGTCGCGGCCGCAGTGCCCGGCACCGCAGGCCCAGACGCGGCCCCCTCCGAGCCAGCCCTTCTCGGCGCGCCAGCGGGGCGGCCCCTCCGCACTGCTGCGCACTGCACCAGCTGCCTCCGCCAGCACGCTGCTTGCAGCGCCATCTCGTCCAGCGCCAGCTGCAGCTAGCGTTCCTGATGCCCGCGCGGGCCCACGCCAGGCTTCATCTCCGCGCCCAGCTGCTCCGCGCACGCCAAGAACGTCTTCTCGGTCGACGCGTCGCTGATGCACAGCGCGATCTTGGCGTTGCCCTCGTTGTAGCAGGAGCTGGTCCTGAAGCCCCTCACCAGGAACGTCAGCTCGTCGATGGGCATGGGCTCGAGCTTGTTCCACACCTCCAGCCACGCGGTTGCGTTCTCCACGCCGACCTTGTCGCCCGCCCCCTTGATCGCGCGCGCGACCGCGAGGAACGCCTGAAAGCCAGCGGGCCCCATGATCAGCTCGGGCGCCTTGTGCCCCGTCGGGTAGTCCATGCGCTGGCCCCTGAGGCGCTGCGCCTCGATGGCGCACGCCTTGCCCGCTGTGAACCCAGCTTACGCCAGGCACGAGTCCTCAGCGATGATCAGCGCGCGGTAATTGGTCGCCATCAGCTGGCGGACGTTGAAGCTGCCCCCCAGAACAGCGCGAGCGCGAACGGGGGCCAGGCGCAGCACCATCTGCACCTCCAGTGCGGGCAGCTTGTCCAAGGCGTCTGGCGGCAGCCCGTAGCTCTTCACTTGAGCGTCTCGGGCGTCGGCGCGCCTGCCTCACCGGCGGGGCGCCGCTGCGCCAGCTGGCAGCGTCGCGCCCGCGGCGGCTGACTGCGCTGCCGCGGCGCCGCGGGGATCGCCGCCGCGGCCGCCGCCTCCGCGCGGGCGGCGTGAGCGAGCGCCACGGCCGGCACTCGCAGAGCCATCTCGGCCACCGCGCGCTGGCGCGGCTCGGCGGCTGCGGGGGCGGGAGCGGCCCTTGGCGGTTTCCAGCGCCTGCGAGCTCAGGCGGAAGGCCACGCTTGCCGCCAGCGGGGGCCAGCCGAGGCGCGGGCTGCGGCGCGTGCTGTTCGAGCAAATGCGCCTGCAGAGCATCGAGGGTTTCGAGGGGCCCCCCGACCGAACAGGCGACTCCAGGCCGGTCGAGAGGCCGCTCAAGGCTGACACCGCGATCGAGGCCAAGGGGCAAACCAAAGACGGGGGCTCGATGACCTGGTGGTGGCACGGGGACCGCTGAGCTGGGCATCTCCGAGCCAGGCAGGCTGTCACCGCGCGTTCTTGGGCTATTCGACGAGTTCTGAAAGCGCTAGCCCAGCACAGACATCGATTGGCGACGACGATAGCGTGAACGATAGAACGACACCCATGCCCAGCATCTTTCTGAAACCTCTGGTGCGCGAGCAACGCACGGCGAGTCGCAAACTCGCGCCCGCGCGGGGAGCCCCCAGGCCCCAGCAGCTCGCAGCGCCACAGCGCCGGCGGCGGCGGGGGCGCGTCCTCGGCAGCGGGGGGCGGCTGCCAGCCAGGCGGCGGGATCGCCACCGTGCGAGCCTGCGCCCGCAGCAGGCCAGGGTCCAGCGTCAGGTTGCGCTCGCGGAGCTCCTCGTTGCCGAACAGCGCGACTACGTTCAGGGCGCCACGCGGAGTCTGGAGGTCCTCCAGCAGCGCGGTGTCCTTCGCGATCGCCAGCAACGCCTCCACGTCCGCGACGAACCGCAGCGCGTACGGGTTGGCGCCGACGAGGACCGAGACGTCGACATCGAGGGTGGGGACGGGTTCCAGCGGCAACTCGCCGAAGACCACCGCGAGCTCCTGAGGGTATTCATCAGGTAGACGAAGCCATCGACGATACTGGCGTAGGCGACGAACTCGAAGTTCAACTCGCGCGGGCGCTATGCCCAGCTTCTTCAGCACCGCCACGTCGGTCATCGCCTTGTAGCGCAGGAGGGGCCTGCCGTTGTCAGCCAGCGCCTGCTGGCCGTCATCCATGAGGATCGGGATATTCTGGCAGGCGGCTCCCGCAAGCATGCGGCGCCCCAGGCTGGCCAGCACCTTGTCGATCTGTAGCTGCTGCGACTCGCTGAGCACGAGCACGTTCATGCCGCTCAGCGCCGCCTCCTTCACCACCGCGCCGAACACGATGCGCGTGAGGCGCCAGACGCGGCTGCGAGCCCAGAAGCGCCCCATGCAGTAAAGTCCCCTGCGGGCAGCTTGCAGACGTCGCCGAAGTTCGGCCTGCGCGCTGCCCGAAATGGACTCGGGCCGAGGGCCACGTTGTCGTACTGCACGACGCCCTCGATGGACTCCGCACCGCTGAAGAGCATCCGCGCCTCGTGCTAAGAGCCCCGAGGAAGCACGGCGAGACCGAACTCTTGGTCGGGTTGTGCGTGTAGCCGTAGGGCTGCAAGGCGCGCTTCAGCTCGTAGTGTGAGTGGCGCGAGACGAAGCCCGCGTTGCGCGCGGAGGTGACGACGCTCGTGTGGTTGGTGTCGTCGGCGTAGATCCTCGTGCCAAGTGGAACAGCTGCATCAAGTAGCGGACACCACGCTGTGCAAATCGACTCGCTCGGCCAGATCGTCGTGTCGATGTCGACCCGAGGCACGGGCGGCAAGAGGGGCTGGTTCTTCCACTCCTCGTAGGTGGTCGGGGGCTCGGGAAGCTCGAAGGTGGCCCAGGCGGCGGCGCGAAGACGACGAAGCCACGTCGCGATGCGACGGCGGAAGGTCCTCGCGAAGAAGAGCGCTGCGGGCGTGTCGCCCATGAAGGCCCCGCAGCGGTTGTGAAGGTCCTGAGCGCCGTCGGCGCCCTCGACGCGGAAGGTGCTGAGCTCGTGGCGCTGGTGGAAGTAGTCGGCGTCCTCGGGGCGCACCGCCGCCTCGACCGTCTGCCGCAGGGCACCCAGGTCGGAGGAGCCGAACGCGTTGCTCATGTCCTCAAGGAGGAGGAGGAGGAGGTGGAGGAGGCGGTAGGAGGAGGAGGAGGAGGAGGAGGAGGAGAGGAGGAGGAGGAGGAGGAGGAGAGGGAGGGAGGAGGAGGGGGAGGAGGGAGGGAGGGAGGGAGGGAGGGAGGGGAGGAGGGAGGGAGGGGGAGAGGGCGGAGGGAGGAGGGAGGAGGGAGGAAGGAGGGGAAGCCGAGAAGACAGCGCTAGCTTAGAGCACCCCGTGCGGTGCTGGGGGATCCACCGCCTGGGGCGCCGACGTCCTGAGACCCCGGCGGGCGGTGGAGATAGATCTATGAAAAGCATGTATAGATCTATATGCATGCATGCATGCATGCATGCATGCATGCATGCATCCATCCATGCATACATACATACATACATATACATACATATATGTATACATACATACATACATGTCTACCTACATATCTACCTACAAGCATACATGCAGACATGCATACATGCCTACACACATGCATACATGCATGCATGCATACATACATGAATGCATACATGCATACATGCATACATATATACATGCATGCATGCATGCATACATACATACATGCATGAAAATGTCTACACGTGTATACCTACATACATAGATGTATGTAGGTATACATACATGCATGCATGCATGCGTGCGTGCATGCATCTACCCAGCTATATAGATGCAAATATATAAATATGCATACACAAAGTCACACTAATATACATAGCATCTACACATTCAGATATCGATGCAAAAACATATACACAAATACATCTACATATAGATATACATGTACACACAATTCTATACATACATTACACACTGTATGTATGTCGCTATACACATACATGTACGCATACACATATATGATCCAGGGTCGAGGGTTCACGACCCCCCCCCCCAGATGGTATGGTCCCAGGATTCCTCGCCCCACCCCCCCCCCAGATGGTATGGTCCCAGAGGCGACGACGACGACGACGACGACGACGACGACGACGGCGACGACGACGACGACGGCGACGACTACGACGACGGCGACGACGACGACGACGACCACGACGACGACGGCTGCGGCGGCGACGACGCCGGCGGCGGCGGCGGCGACGACGACGATGACGACGATGACGACGGCGACGACGACGATGACGACGACGACGACGATGACGACGACGACGACGACGACGACGACGACGACGACGAGGACGACGAGGACGACGACGACGACGACGACGACGACGACGACGACCTCTGAACCACCACAGCACCACACCACATCCACAGGGGGGGGGAGGGGGGCACCGCAGCGCAGCACCACGCCACGCCCACTTCTGAACCACCACAGCACCACACCACATCCACAGGGGGGGGGGAGCACCGCAGCGCAGCACCACGCCACGCCCACAGGGGGGGGCGGGGGGGACCATCGCGCGGGGGGGGGCCCAATGGCATCAGCATTGGGGGGGGGGCCCAAGCCCTGGACAATATATAATAAATGCGCATAGGCATACGCATATCTACAGCTATACAGATACCCATACATATGCACATAACTAGACATAAACATATACAAATACATATACATATACAGATACATGCACCAATACACATAAGTACGCATATACATGTATGATACACGTATACAATAGGTTTACATATACATATTCATAGATATAGACATAGATATCGATACATATACGTATGCATATGCAGATGTCTATGCATACACGAATACATACACATGTACTCGTACGTTTGTACAAACACCTATACAAAAATGATACCGGAGAAAAAAAAACTGTTTTTTGTTGGGGCTGCGGGGCTTTAGGACTACAGGGCTATAGGGCTATGGGGCTATAGGGCTGTATGGCTATGGGGTTATAGTGCTGTAGGTCTATTGTGTTATGGGGCTATAGGGGCTATAGGACTATAGGGCTACAGGGCTATAGGGCTATAGGGCTATTGGGCTATAAGGCCATATGGGATATATGTGCTATTGGGCTATTGGGCTATAGAGCTGTAAGACTATAAGGCTACATGGCTATAAAGTACCCGGGCACCCCTGGGCACCTCTGGGCACCCCCGAGCACCCGGGCACCCGGGCACCCACGGGCACCCGGGCACCTGGCCACCGGCCACCGAACTCCTGGGGCACCGGGCACTCACGGGCACCCCTGGGCACCCGGGATCCCGGCCGCCGGCCACCAAATCGGCATGTACACGTACGTTTGTACAAACACCTATACAAATCAAAACTTTTTTATATATATATATATATATATAATTATATATATATATAATATATATACATACATACTATACATATACATGTACATGCGCATACATATATGTATATATGCCTAATTCATATGAGTATACATATACACATACACATGTCACAAAGATATGTACATTGAATTGTATTATGATGTGTGCATGTGTACATATATATATATGTATATATATATATATAAATATGTGTGTGCGTGTTGGCCCCAGGGTGGCCCCAATGTACCCCTGTCCACCGCCTGCCGAGGTCTCTGAAGTTCGATCCCCCAAGCGGTGGTCATGGACATCTCCCCGCCTCGGACCTGAGCATCTCGTACGCCACCCACGCGCCGAACGAGTGGCCGAAGAGCACGAAGGGCCTGGGCGGGCGGCCCGGACCTCTCCTCGCACCGCGAGGCTTAGGTCGGGCATGTCCCCCTACAGGCGTTTTCTGGGCGATATACATCTATATATATATGTGCTAGAACCATCGCGCGCGCTTCGCGCGCGCGATTGTTCTAGCAGGCCCCAGGCCTTGACAGGTTTCGCGGCTCCAAGACGCGTTTCCATTGTTTTTTAATAGGTTTCGGCAATCGCACTCCTGGGAGGATCTCCCGCCCACTCAGTCAGCAGACAATTAGGGGAACCAAGAGGAAAAGAGACAATAGGGAACCAAGAGTCCACAAGACATGGGGGAACCAAGAGGACAAGAGACAATGGGGAAACGAAGAGGACAATAGACAATGGGGAAACCAAGAGGACAAGAGACAATGGGGAAACCGAGAGGACAACAGCTACACCAGCATCATCGTCAACGTCTGCATCAGCATCTACATATACAACTACATCAACACGTGTATGAAAAACACAACGCTAATCTACGCATGCACCGAAGACACATCACGTCACATAGTCTTAAAAGTCACCCTTACAGGGGGGGGGGGTCTGGCTCCGGACCTCTGCTTAGTTCGACTGTGTTGCAGCACGGGGTCCTATGAGGGGGGGGGACTCCACCTGCTCGAGACAGGCGCACCAGACAGCCAAGATCTGCTCCATGGGGGAGGGGAGGGGGGGGAGGGGGCCCGCGCCGCTCGGCAAAACAATGAATTAAAAAACGATCACCTGGGGTCCCTGGGCACCTGTTTTCACCCTCGTTTTTGTTGGGGCTGGGCGGACTCCAGGTGCCAAGCCTGCAGCATACTTTGCTGCTTCTATTTTTCCCTCCTCGTTGAGCCCCTTCCCTTCGTGGCGAGGCCTGGCGGCGAACACGGCGAGGCCGACGCCGTCGAGGACCCCGCGCGCGAGCTCCGCCAGCGACGAGGCGTAGGGCACCTCCTCGCCCATGCGGAGCCCCCTGGCGGGGAGCTCCAGCGGCATCACCTCTCGGCAGCTTCAGGCCCACCCCACGTCCAAGACCCCCCTGTGACCAAGGACAAAAAACACGACGGGAAGTCTTTCGCTGCTTCGGGCCTCTGGGGGCCTATTACTGGGCCTTGGGACCGTCGAACATCGGCTACACGCAAGGAGTGACCCTAAGCAAGAGTGACCTCTGGTGCACGGAAGAAGGGGGGCGCACGGTGGCCAAACCCAATCGCGCAGTCAGCTGGTGTCGCATCGCGCTCAGCAATCGAAGGGACCCCGATGAGCCCGCACTCAAGGTCAACCGGGCCAAGGGTCACTCCCCTCTTCGGCTGCACGCTGCGGCCGTTGGTGCGCGGACGAAGGGGGCGCAAGGTAGCCAAATCTAAGCGCGCAAGCAGCCAACGTCGCATGGCGCTGAGCGACCGGGGAGGGGCCCAGTGGGCCCGCACCGAAGGCCACTCCGGCCTCGTCCTCCGCCCGCCCATTCCTCCTCCTCCCCCCGCCTCGTCCTCCTCCTCCTCCTCCTCCTCCTCCTCCGCCTCCTCCTCCTCCTCCTCACCCTCCTCCTCCTCCTCCTCCTCCTCCTCCTCCTCCTCCTCCTAATCCTCCTCCCCTCCTCCTCCTCCTCCTCCTCCTCCTCCTCCCCTCCTCCTCCTCCTCCTCCTCATATCATCATCATCATCATCATCATCATCATCATCATCATCATCATCATCATCATCATCATCATCATCATCATCATCATCATCATCATCATCATCATCATCATCATCATCATCATCCTCATCTCATCATTCATCATCATCATCATCATCATCATCATCATCATCATCATCATCATCATCATCATCATCATCATCATCATCATCATCATCATCATCATCATCATCATCATCATCATCATCATCATCATCACATCATCATCATCATCATCATCACCATCACCACCACCACATCATCATCATCATCATCATCATCATCATCATCATCATCATCATCATCATCATCATCATCATCATCCTCATCCTCATCATCAGCATCATCATCATCAGCAGCATCAGAATCAGCATCATCATCATCACCATCATCAGCAGCATCATCACCATCATCAGCATCAGCATCATCAGGCATCATCATCATCATCATCAGCATCATCAGCATCATCGGCATCATCATCATCATCATCATCAGCAGCAGCAGCATCATCATCATCATCAGCATCAGCATCAGCATCATCATCATCGGCAGCATCAGCATCAGCATCAGCATCGTCATCATCATCATCATCAGCATCATCATCATCAGCATCATCATCAGCATCATCATCACCAGCATTATCATCAGCATCATCCTGCGCTCGTACCTCGAGGGGGTACGAGCGCAGGAGGAGGACCCTCCTCCTCCTCTTCTTCTTATTATTAGTATTATGTTTATCATTAGTATTCGTCGTATTAGTCTTATTATTATTCGTGTTATTCTTCTTCTTATTATTATTCTTATTCGTATTGTTAGTATTATTCTTATTATTCGTATTCGTCTTCTAATTCCTCTTATTCGTCTTCTTCTTCGTCGTCTTCTGCTTATTCTTATTGCTATTAGTATTATTATTATTATTATTACTCCTCCTCCTCCTCCTCCTCCTCCTCCTCCTCTCCTCCCTCCTCCTCCTCCTCCTCCTCCTCCTCCTCCTCCTCCTCCTCCTCCTCCTCCTCCTCCTCCTCCTCCTCCTCCCATACCCGAAAACGGCCCCATGGATTGGGGCCCGCGCCCTCTCCGCCGGGCTCCGCGCCCCACCACCACCACCCCTTCGAGCGGGCAGGCCCGGGGGCACCGAGGGGCCCTGGCACACTGGCGACGGGGAGACCCAGGCACGCGACGATACACCCTGCGAAATGCTTTAGAAATCATGGGTTAAGAAATTCATAGTCTCAGAATTTGAATGAAAACCCAGAACGTCTATTCAAATCTTAGGATTTACATTGAAACATTAAGAATAATCGAGACTCTGGCCGACAACTTGGGTTTTCTTAAGCATCGCCTATGGTGTATCATGGTTTCCATGCGCAGGCCTGGACTTGGCGGCGAGCGAGGGGGGAAACGAGAAGGAGAGGGCCCGCTCAGGAGCCCTCGTGCCTTCCGAGAAGTTTTCTGTCTTCGGGGAAGGCTCAGAAAACTCCTCCGAAGGCCCGAGGACTTCCGAGCCTTCTGAGAAGGCCCGCCCCTTCTCACTTTCCCCCCTCGCTCGCAGCCGCTAGACGTCCCGACCCTCCCCCAGGAGTCGTTTTCATTCGTCGAGCCCCAGCTCTGATGATCCCGGGGCCCGAAAACGGGCCCCAGGTGCCCAGATCGAGGACAAGCACCGTGTTTGAGGAAACCATGTCGTCGGAGAGCTGCCATGACCCATGACGTCGTGCATGTTTGTTCCCGACGTGGGCCCCCAGAGGCCGAGAACGGCAACAACAACAGAAACGTCCGCAGTGCAGCTCTCTCTTGCGGCGCGAGGGGTCTGGGCGGGTGAGGCTCTGACGCCGCCGAGCCTCCACGCCCTCTGGCAGGCGCCTGGTCCAGCCGTGGTAGGCCTGCCCGCCCATGCCCGCCGGCGGCACGCAGAAGAGCCGCAGCCGGACGGCCTCCAGCGGCGGCGGCTGCGGCCCCGACTCGTGCACCGCGGGCCCCTGCGACACCCACCTGCCGTAGGGCCCCGCCGCCGCCGGCATGGCCGCAGGGCGCCCGCGCGGCGCCGTGCGGGCGCGGCCCTCCTGGGCCGCAGCCTCCCTTGGCGTCCCAGGTCCATCCCTCCACCCCCC